GAATCATTTTGGAGAAGATTTAAGAGTACAAGTCTTGATTCTTCTTCTTTTCTCAGGACTTAAATCTTAAGCAATATATCCAGTTTAGAATAATTATATATATATATATATATATATATAACTTATTATAATAGGCCAACTCTGGTATAGCTATGGGTTTAAAGGATTTTGCCAAGACACACCTTAACGCTTGATATTGTAATATATATATTTTTTTAAATATACATCATTGGAATGAGAGCCTTGAGATATATTATCAGTGTTACTTCATAAATCTGAGGGCTGATGCATCTACTATGGAAAGATGGGAAATGGTTCAGAATGTTCATCACTTTGGCCTTCCTACCTCGTCTGCTTGTTAGATGTTTAGTCTGGTACTCCATACAATTTAGTATTATGTGACTTATTTTTGGCATTTGTTTTCGATTAGTGTAATGCAGTGATCTGAGCGGTTAAAAGTGAGAGATCAATTTCTTTAATGGATTCTTCCACATTTTGTAAAGTTGTATAAGAATTTAATATAGTTCGTTCCTCCCCCCGCTCTATCGGCTAATTCTAATATTTACATCTTGCCCACGCAGATTGCTAGTCTAAATAAATATAAATTCGTACTCATCCGCTGCATGATCAAGTCGTCGAAATATGGAACTTATAAAATGGTTGAGATACATTTTTAGGCAAGTGTGATAGCAACTGAGACAATTGTATTGGTAAAGATAATGGATATGTAAAAACTCTATGTCTAGCCACGCATTAATGATAATGAAATTAGTTGGATCGAGTCAAGAATGAACAGATTAAATGGACATATGATTCGCATCCATTATGTGTTATCTAAATACTAAGAATCATACAATTTCTTAGGAGAAGGAGAGAAAATTTGTTCAGTCGCAATTTTCGCATTTTTATTGTTAGAATTTTATCATCCGGGGAATGGTTAGATAATCATAAGACATTTCAATCCCACGACCTAACAAAAATATTTTCATATACTGGAATTACTCAATAGAAAATATAATTTATATTGTTTTTTTTCAAACGAAAAATCTAATGAAAATATTTAAAGTTGATAGTTGTTCATGGTTTATATCTATATCCACTTAAATGGTGTTTTAACGAAATATTTCTTGATTAAAACAGGTATAATTAATGAAAAACTTTTATCAACATTTAGTCATATTTGTTTGAATACTGGGCTATCGTATCTTTGGCGTTGTCTCGTTAATTTTTGTTCACCAGAGCCGTGCTTCTCCTCTTTCCTTATCCCGCTTCTCTTCGCAATGGAAATTGGCATTCCCGTTGAAATTCAGGGGAAGTATGGCGAATATTACCCGGTAACTTTTTAATCAATTTATTATTTCCTTAGGGTTTCATATATAGTTTGCAATCTCTGCAGACATTTTGTGTTCGAATTTTTGGCACCAATCCCAACAGCCAGCCTGCCGAACTGTGTGTTCCGCCTTCCGTATTAAGGCCTCCGGCCGATGGCCGTAGCCATTCGAATGTCAACCCACAAGATCTTTTAATCGGCCAAGAAGTGGATGTCCTAATTGGAGGAAAAAGAGGGGATACCTCTTCACAATCTGGTGGCCTAACAACCGCATCCCTCGTCTTTTCTTCGTGGTGGACCGGGACTGTATCCAAAGTTCGCGGAGATTTCGTTGTAGTAAATTTAAATGCGGAGGATATAGGAAGCGTTAGCGCTCCTGCTACAGAGGTTAGTACGCTTCCCGATGGCCGAGTTGATTCACCATTAATGCGCCCAATCGAGAAAACTGAAATTGTTGAAAAGGACCAACTGAGATTGCGTAATCTTCAGCCAAACTTAAATCCCAAAAGTTTTTATACTCATGTGATTGATGTCCCCGACTGCCTTGTTGATTAGTAAGTTCCTATCTGACCCGCTAACTCATTTCTAGCTTCCATGATCCACAAAACTTCCAACCTCTTGCTCTCAAATGTGGTTTTCCTGTCCTTGTTTGTCCTGCCCCTGATGGACTAGTTGCAACAGGTGGTGGAAAGTTGGATGGTGAAACGTATAACAAGGCAAGCAGACTCGTCGTTGTATCAACACAACCTGTATGCATTGAACGTGCTGCATTAATAGAAAAAGAGTTTATTAGAATGTCCAAGAAAAAGATGCTATTGAAAAAGCAAATTGAAGAAAAGTCCGAAAGACTCAAGGTAATTTCTGCCGTTTCCTCTGATTCACGTGGTTCCTTTCGAAAATAATTATTATTCATTTAACTTTTAGTCCCACTTTGTCGAAGAGTTTACCGTCCAGAAGGCCTTGCTATCTCAAGCGATTGGGATTCAAAGATGCAATATCCATCGAGCAAATGCCGTTCCTGGAATTCTCTGTGTAGAAGTTGATCGTGACTCCTGCGTATTTAAGATCACTGGGAAGGTAACTTCTCCACACATTCTAATCGCTATTTAGACACGAGAATCGGTTAAACAGGCTCGCGCCCTCCTTGACTACGCTGTTGAGGTTATGCAAGTTCCCAAGATTTATGTCACTTCCTTGCTTGGGCATAATAATCGAAATATTCAAGCCTTAGTTGATCGAGTTGGACTTGGGCGAATGGTTGTAGTTAGCGCAAGTGAGGCGACGGTGGATGATTGTGTTCCTTTTCGATTCACTGGGACTCGTCAAGCAATTAGGGACGCCCGATTGTTCTTGGAATTTAACATTGTTAGTCTTCGAGAAATCGATCGAATTCGCGGCCATCCAGTGCCATCACTTACGGACTTGATGATTAAAATAAAAGCAATCTCAGCTACTGAGGAACAAGATTACCTTAAAAAGTTAGTTCCTTCCATTTGATTCTTTCAATTTCTCTACATAACTTTGACGCTTGTTTCTTTTTTAGTAATGACGATACTTTAAGTAATTCGAAAGTCGCTGACCGCGACAAAGTTGTCCCTGTTAGCGTAAGTTTACATAGGAGAAATAGGCCACCTCCACAAAACCAACATCAGATTCAATCTCATGGGGAGCGAACTAACGGGGCTGGAATGGATTGCTCTGGTTCAAACCAGGGTGCTGCGAGTCGGCCCATTTCAGAGATAGATGCAGGTGGCGCCGGGGATGTTTCCAATAATCCTGCCGGGCCGAATGCCAGCGGAACAAATAGTTATAGACGAAAAAGAGGTGTGCGCCGAGGTGGCTACGGAAACGGACCTGCTGGTTTGGGGAATACTAACAACAATGCATTACTTCATCCCAATGGAGATGAGCCCCTACCACCAAGAAAATCAGTTCCATGTAAGTATGCCAATAGTTTTATTCCGTTGGTCCTTATATTCTTATTATCTATTTCAATTTTGAATAGCCTCTACGGATAACTTGGGGTCTCGTCCGAAATACTCAACGAGCGACACTATTGATGCCAATGGCAACTATTCCCGCATAAATGGACATGCCTCGGATCAACGGTCTGATGAGCCTGGTATTTGGAATCGGGGTAGATCCAACCTCGGAAGCGCCAATCGCCAAAAACGCCAGCCAAATAGCAAGGGTTCTTTTGGTGCATCGATAAATGATAATACTGCCACTCCATTTTTGGCTCCGAACTGAAATTTAGATTTTCTTCACTTAAACTCAATCCTCTCTTATCAGCTGTGCATACTTCAAAGCCATTTTACTTGATTAGATTTGAATGCCTTGGGAAATTAGTGATTCACTAACAACATTGCCCCTGATTCTTGAAGCCCCTACAGATGCCTGCTAACAGCCTAAATCCGTTGCTGGCTTACTTCGATTAGCTTGTTGAGAGAACCAGTCCCTTCGAACCCAGGTATCAACTGTCATCATTCTTCTTTGTGGATCTGACATCGTTTGCATTCATCATACCTCTTGTGTCGGTCCACGGAGGCTGTCTGACTATTTTCAATGACTCAGTACTCAATACACAAATATTGTGTGTTCCGTTTGGCTTTCATTTGACCTATCCTGTGCTGATGTCAGGGCGCCGTTGAAGTAAATATTCACCATCCCCTTGCATATATTGTAAGTAAGTAGACGGTTCCTGTTCTTCGCTGTCATATACATATATACAACGCTAACACAATTCTAGACTTGAATATATTTACAGGGAAAATACGTCTGCGCATTGTATTATTATCTCCTGTTGTGTAAATTTGGTTCGCATATACGAAGCTTTTCTCCAGTGCCCAATGATAGCTTTTTTAGGTTTTGCATTTCTCCAATTGCGTCTTAAAATAAATTGTTGATTTAACCATGCCTTGCCTTTGGGACTATTATTTTTTATCAAAAAATCTCACGCATGTGGAACTTGTATATTTTATAATGACACTTATCACGACTGGTTAGTCTTCCATTTAAAGGCATTGACTAGTTGGCTATATGTATCCTAGTTGGCTACGCTGTCAGTGACATGATCCTTTTTCTTGCTGAAGGTATGCAGGTGATGATATAAGGGTTGTGCCTTCTATGTGCTTCCAGATTTAGAGTAAAAAGTTTGTATTTACTAGATGAGACAGAAAGGTTTCAACCAAACAGAGCTTGACAATATATTGATATTCGTACATTCGGATATCTGTAATTTGCAAAGCTTTGTCTCAAATAAGTCATTCGCTCGGACTATCAATAGTAGCCGAGGGACGCCTATGGGCTGACTTCCCTTCTACAGTGTTAGGGTTGCCATGGTTGTGTTTATAATCCTGCTTAGGAGTCGTACTCATGGTAATAGGTCTTCGTAAGGGTACTTTAAAGCTTGACGGTGCTGATTTGCCTACACTTACCCGAGTCCTTTAGTTACTTAAACCATGCTGCCATTGCATGGCCTAGATAACGGGCTTGTTTTGGTGATGTAATAAGATTCTGCCACTAGATGCATCTTATTACTTGACTGGAAAATGCTAAAGACTAACTGCGGTTTAGAATGGAAGTAGTGTTATAAAAGAAGAATTCAATCGAGGCCTGGGCAGCGGGTAGAAAAAAACAGACTGGTCATGATCCAAGAAACTACATTATTTAGGCTAAATTTATCTAATCTAAGTTTGCATATTGTTGACGGAATAGTCAGGTGCGGAGGCGGAAATTAAGTGTACGGGAGACATGTCTTTGAATCTCAGGCACGTCAAAGAAGTAGAGGCCCTGCGTAAGTTAATTAATAGCTGTGTGAAATATTCAAATGCAAATTAGGTGAGCGATGACACTGAAATTGGGTTACTACAAGAAGAGTCATGCAATTCTAAATTTTATAATTGATGCGTATCCGTTTGATACGTTAATAATTCAGTTCATTCGCATCACGTTCTTTATTCTTTGTAGAAAAGAAATTCGAATCTTGATAATGTATAGGCAGATGTATTCATGAAGCCACTAGAAAGTCTGGCTGTTTCTGTAAGCTTTACAATATGTTATCGTTTTCTGACACTCATAGATTATAATCTTACTTTAGTGAAAAACGTCACTAGTTAACAAAATGTTCAACTCGGCCTTTTAGAAATTGGTTGACCTCGTTGTCGCAACTTGATCTTTTTGTCAGGGCGACTTAGTAGAACGCATCTAGTCCGAAGTCGTCTTCCATAGTAGTTCTCATGATTCCCAGCATCAGACAGTGGACTTAGTACATTTCAAACGTTTCGCCGGTATCGTAGTCGGAATTATCAGTGAGCTTTGACATTCTCCGCACCAAGTAAAGTCAATCCTTCACTTGTCTCTGACAAGTTCGTAGCTTGGTGCGGAGACTGGCAAAACTCACTGATGGTGCCGGCGAAACGTTTGAGAATGTGCCAAGTCCACTATCTGATGCTGGGAATCATGACAACTACTCTGGCAGACGACTTCGGATTAGATTCGTCCTACCAAATCCCCCTGACAACAAGACCAAGTTGCGACGACGTCAACCCACTTCTATAAATCGAAAGGAGATTGCGACCATACCAGAGGCTTAACATCATAGTCTTCATATCGGCCGTTTAGGTTGTTTAAGCATGACGGAGTGTTTCGGGCTATGCTACAGCATGGAATTAAGCCTTTGGGTCTATCAATTAACAAATACATCTCTTTATTATATTAAATGATCTCCAGATAAACTTATTTAGTAAGGAACTATTAATCTTGAATCCAATCATCGAAGATGATAAAAATTGTAGATTTCATAATCCACTTTAGTTGCAAACTAATTTTTTTCACATTCTAGATTTATTATATCCTAAATTGTAAAATTTGCATTTATTTGCTCAGGTGGCAGAAGTATAATTTACTAATCAAAGATAAACTTTTATCGCGTCAAATCGCATCATGCCTATTTTGACATAACGAACTACTTTACGATTAAAATATATGCTTAAATGAATGCATAGGCTTGTAAATATTGCGAGGCTTAGTTTTATATAGAAAATTAAAAGATCACTGCGTCCATGAAAGGGCTAATCAACATTCGACGTTATTAGAAAAATTTTCATTTCGTTTTAAAGTGTACGAAGAGGACGTTCAAAGATCTATCTCTCGAAAAAAGGATGGCTGATTACCGTTATACTACAACCTTTTGGTTTTAAGACGACGTTTATGTCGACAGTCCACGCTACATCCTCCCTCGTTTCTGGTGAAAGCTGGCCGAGTCTATCACATGATGAACCTCAGCAGAGCTGGAACTCGTTCTTGTTTTACGCTAACACTATCAGTCTTTATCTTGTGTTATCTAGACCTAAATAAATAAAAGAATATTTATAGGCATAGATATAGGTACAATTGTTTGGCTAATTATCCTTCATATTGGTATTGCCACTTTGCTCGTCTATTGTTGTGTGCGTGTGTATTTGTGTGTTAACGTCTATAATTATCGAATATAGGCTAATGCCACGCTCTGGCCATATAGGCTTCTTGACCCTACGGAGACTACATAAGTTCGTAAGCAACTGACAGAATGAGGTGTAAGCGTCTAAGTCAGGTTACGAAACCACCTGTCTTAACCTCTCAGTCTGGGTTCATTAAGGTTTAACTACTTAAGAAAGGGCATGACGGGTTTCCTAGTCTTGTATATCTGGCTTGGCTGGTGAGCTTAGTCTTACCTGTGTGAGGGAACCTAGAACCATCACTGAGTAGGCAATTTGTTTTTTGTATAAGAGTATGGTTTCGAGGCTACCAGTAAATCAATGTAATGAGATGTATTTACCCTATTTCGTGTAAGGTGATGAAGGACTGGTAGTAGAATTTTCCCACAATG